CTTCTTGCAGAGGTGTGAGCCGATGGTCTCGAGCTTGGGATTGGTTGTTGGGCTTGACTTTTCAGACAGTTGAATTATTTTTATACGCATGTTGTGAATAGTATACCCGAAGTCTTGGTCTTCTAAGTTCTATCTTCAAATGTTTGTCTCCTATGTATTGTAGAGTTGATTTAGTCTAGATTGGATTGTTTTGTACAAATCAACTTTAATTGAGAATTTTTGGTATTTTGTTTTTGCAAAATTGATGGATAAACTTTAAATTTATTTATTATTAATAGCTATAATAGATTTTTGTCAAATTCAAGTATTGAATTGTTATTTATCATTGATTAAAGATTTATTTTTTTTTTCCTTAAAAAATTTCGCTCTTTTTTTGGCTAGTTTTTTCTATTTTAGACGAGATTAACGGATTTTTTTTTTACAGTCTATTAGTTTTTAACGAAACAATTAAAGGATAGAAATTAATTAACCAACAAAATAAATCCCAAAATTGATAAAGTTGAAGGATGTAGTACTTTTTGAAAAGCAAATTGAAGTTCCAAAGTATCAACTACCAACACACAACAACATAGGTCCATGTATCTGAGACCGATCAGTTGGGTCTACTACAGTAGTAACGGGCTCATGACTGTGAGTTGAGTCCATTAAGTCGGCCCATCAAGACCTTGTCCCGTATAATTCCGGTATTTAAAATAAGGTGAGGAAGTTGGTTTTGAACACGTAGTCACAACACAAGTGCTACGTGTATGCTTCTTAGTCCTTCACAATAACACGTGGCACATCTTTTATCTTTTTATATATACACGCATAATAATAACGGATATATGGTATGATATGATGATCTATCTCTCTCCTTAATTTCTCAGAATAATAAAAGTTTGCTCAGTAGTTTGTTAAAAGTATTTTCGAAAAATGGTAGTGACGAGCACAAAATTAGAGGGTAGTGATGATGAGGAGGAACACGTCCACTCGACCTTCGCTTCCAGATATGTCCGCACCTCTCTTCCCAGGTATATGATAATATGAGCGGGCTATATTAGAATATCACTATGTAATAGAATTCAATTTATTTGGTTAATTAATGACAATAATAATAATAATAATAAATAGGAATAAGATTCCGAGCGGGTTGATGCCGAAGGAGGCGGCGTATCAGATAGTGAACGACGAGCTGATGCTGGACGGGAACCCTCGCCTGAATTTGGCCTCGTTTGTGACGACTTGGATGGAGCCGGAAGTCGACAAGCTTATAATGGCCGCCCTCAACAAGAACTATGTCGACATGGACGAATACCCGGTCACCACTGAGCTCCAGGTACCCCACCTACCTAATTGCTTTTCTCTGTTATATGATCGAAAAAGAGTTACATAATGAATGTAAATGAATGAATATTAAATTTTATTGAAAAATATGTAGTATTAATATTAATTTTTATTATTTAATTGTATTTGATGAGACCGAAGAGGGATTTAAGGAATAGTGATTTTTTAAATTGCAGAATCGGTGTGTGAATATGATTGCTCATCTCTTCAATGCGCCGATTGTTGGTGACGATGGAAATGCGGTTGGTGTAGGCACAGTGGGTTCGTCGGAAGCCATAATGCTTGCCGGTCTTGCTTTTAAAAGGAAGTGGCAAGCAAAGAGGAAAGCTCAAGCCAAACCTCACCATCGGCCTAACATTGTCACGGGGGCTAATGTGCAGGTGTTTTTTTCCATTTCATTACAGTGCCTTGGTTGGTTTTATGGCCAAATAGCAAATGCAAAGATAATATAACCACTTTTTATAAAGTATGAATGAACAATTGTCATTTTGCCGACTACCAGAATCAGCTACCTAGCCATTTATATTACCACTTTTTATATTTGTTTTCTAATTCGTGCAACCTTTAACATTTACCAACACACGAAATGCTAATCGATCATCATATTGCAAAAAGGTTTGTTGGGAGAAATTCGCGAGGTACTTTGAGGTAGAATTGAAGGAAGTGAAGTTAAGTGAAGGTTGTTATGTGATGGATCCGGCTAAAGCAGTGGAAATGGTGGACGAGAACACGATATGCGTCGCGGCTATTTTAGGCTCGACGCTAACTGGCGAATTCGAAGACGTCAAACTCCTTAACGAGCTCCTAGCGAAAAAGAATGAAGAAACCGGTTGGGACACCCCGATTCATGTGGATGCCGCTAGCGGAGGTTTTATTGCCCCGTTTCTTTGGCCGGAGCTCGAGTGGGACTTCCGATTGCCGCTTGTGAAGAGCATTAATGTGAGTGGTCACAAGTATGGGCTTGTTTATCCGGGTGTTGGGTGGGTCGTGTGGCGGAGTAAGGACGACTTGCCGGACGAGCTCGTGTTTCATATCAACTATCTCGGATCCGATCAGCCGACTTTCACCTTAAACTTCTCCAAAGGTATTGTTTTCGACTTCTTTTTTTTTTTTTCCNTTTATGGCAATATTCTTGGTCTCTTTTGCTTAATTAAGTAGATAGTTCTTTGTTTTCTTATTAAGAATAGTAGAATACAGAATGTAAATAAACTGTGTATGTACATTTAATTTCTCAGGATCTTCCCAGATCATCGCCCAGTATTATCAGTTTATACGACTTGGCTTCGAGGTAATTTAAACAAAATACTTCAACTAGTGCCAGTTATAGTCAATTAGTCAATTATTCGGACGATAGGTAGGTGTATCTTTTATCAGGCCAGCCTAAGCCTAACCATCAGGACAACATATTCTTTTAAACATATATACTTTGTTTAGAAAATGTATCAGTTTTTTTCTATGGTTAGATTAGATAGTATAAATAGTGACTTTGTTGCCTCACATACACAAGAAAGTATTTTTGATCGACTAATTTAACAATTTTTTGTCTACATTATGATGATATATATAAATCCCCATATAAACGCATTATATTGCTTCTAAAATGCACCTCTTGTGATACAATGTTCAAGAGAGCAATCGGTAAAGAGAGCCTTGTCCAACTAAATCGTCGACTAGCTAGTTCAAGCATTTTCTCGAACGTGATTTATTTTTTTCCCGCACGTGTAGAAATTAATTAAACAAATACTCATCTATCTATATATGTATATATATATATTTGGCAAGGGCTACAAAAACATCATGGAAAACTGCATGGAAAACGCGAGGTTGCTGAAAGAAGGGATTTCAAAGACAAACATGTTCGAAATCTTGTCCAAGGACATTGGAGTTCCACTCGTGGCCTTCTCTCTCAAGGACAGCAGCAAGTACACTGTTTTCCAGATAGCCGAGTCTTTGAGGAGGTTCGGGTGGATAGTGCCAGCTTACTCTATGCCGCCAAATGCCGAGCACATTGCTGTTTTGCGGGTTGTGATTAGAGAAGATTTTAGCCACGGGCTTGCGGAGAGGCTCGTTTCTGATCTCGAGAAGGTAGTGAAGGAGCTGGAGGCATCGCATTTGCCGCCACGTGTAGGGAAAAGTGATGCTTTGAGTCGGGAAAAAATTTGTAGCTATTGGAGGAGGATTTCGGACAAGAAGAAAACGACCGGGGTTTGTTAAAAGAGGGAGAGAGGGTTGGTTTTATGCATGCAAGCTGTTGGGTTTTTCCTATATATGTGGAGACTAGGATTTGCAGGAAGTTTAGTTATTACTTGATGTGTCTTTGAATAAGGTGGACATATGTTTGTAGTTATGAGTTTCAAGATATGACATCAATCTTCTGGCTGAAGAAGCTCAAACTGAGTGGCTAAAGACACTTGATATTAATAGCAATGGTTGAATTTGCCTTGACATCTTGAGCAGGGCTCCCCTGCCTTGACAAATGATGAGAACCCCTGTGAACTCGGAGTCTTATGCACCAAGGGCCAAGGTGGAGATTGTTGGTATTTATGGTCCAAATGAGATTAATTGCTCATTTAATTTTCAATGGCCCAATTCCTTTGGCTTGAGCCTAGTCTTTGAAGTCCACTTGATCCCTGCGATTTTGGCCGTCGTCGTCGTCAAGTGTTTTAATCTTCACCGTTGGTTATCGAGCTTTCTTTACATTCTCTCTCAAAATCTCAACAATATGCTCTCTCGCCCGTTCTCGACTTCATGTGTCCAATCGATCCATCTCATTCGTGTATGTGAGGATCCTGTGCTCGACCTTTTTCTGCTTCGGGGAGGTTACGAGCAGTTTGTGACGGAGTTTTGTGCACTGGCCGGTGGTGTTACCGTTGGGCTTCTAGAGCCAGACTTATTTTGGCTATGAGCCTAATCGTATTCGGCATCATCGTGGCTTTCGGGCCCCGTATTTGAACTCGGTGAAGAGTGTATTTGTTCTAATTTGTTTCTTATTTATTTTTTTAGCATTTTTAAATTATCTTAAAATTACTAAATATTAGATAATTTTCGGTCGTCTCATCTTGAAGCGGAGATAGTAGGACTTGTTTGGGACCAAACGAGCACTCCAAGTCAGCCCAGACTGCTCACTTCAATTCAACTCAGACTGCTCGTGGGCGTTCTATTAGCCGTGATATATAAAGCACAATTAACAAGTTATGACACTCATTTTGATATTTTAGAAAAATTAATGTACCTCAAAATAGAAGAACTACTTAACCGAGTTGAACCAAGATTGCACAAACAATGGCACGATATCAAATAAGAGAGAACTTAATCGAGTCGCACCAATTAGATCACACAAACAATAAAATAAGAGAACTTAACTGAGCCGAACCAAGATTGCACGCCCAATGGCACGATATTAAATAAATAAATAAATAACTGAGTCGGGGCCACACGCTCAAATCCTCGATTTTCATGCCGTCGAGCTTCCCACCCGAAAACCCTAAGTTCCACACGGCCGTATTAATATTAAACATTTCGTTGCTGGTAATTGTCGATAGGGAAAGCGAGTCGATTTCGAAAGTCGGGAAGTGGGGCTGCTGGGCAATGCCTATGATTACGGCGGCTAATATAATTAATATGATTACCATGGCGAGGCATAGAGATGTTAAATGGTCTTTGGCCGGACGGGCCGGTCCGTTTAGCCCGGAAAAAAAGAGGGTTAGGTCCTTTTATTAATAGTCCGTTTAAATCAGGGCCTTTTAGGCCCGGACCGTTTAGCCCGAAGCCCGCTAGGGCTAGCTCGGAACCCGTTAGGGCTGGCCCGTTTAACTAGAGTTGGACGGTGTAAATGTTTGCATCAAGTAAGTGATAGCTCTTAGATTCCTTGTATATTACAATTTTGATATTCCACTTCACATGTAAGTACGAGTTGTAATGGATTATTATGATTTTGAAAGATAATTATTAACAATATTGTTATTGTACTTCATACCAAATAAGCCAATCAGAACGACTAATAAGAAATACATGAAACATAGTGATAGACGGTAAATACTAAATAGCCGTTGAAAACAATTTTTAACTAGCCGTTGTTATTTTTTTTTATATTTTTTACTCTTTTTATTTTTTGCTTTTTATATATTATTGTTATTATTATGCCATAGCCCGCATAGCCCGTTTAGCTCGAAGCCCGCTAGGGTTAGGGTTAGGTCCTTTTTTTGGTAGTCCGTTTCAATCCGGGTTTTTAGGCCCGGACCGTTTAACCCGAAGCCCGCTAGGATTAGCCCGAAACCGCTAGGGTTAGACCGTTTAACATCTCTAGCAAGGCAGGTGGCGAAGGAATCATGCTTTGTTTCCATCTGAGGAATGCTTTCTGTTTGGGGTNAAAATATAAATATGTATATAAAGAAGTGTAAACAACTTTTAAAGTGTGTGTCTCAAAGGATAAACTTAACGGGATAACAAGTTACCAGATATTACCAACTTAAACAAAGCATAAAAAGATATTTATATGTTATCTATATACTAGTACGTAGCCCGTGCGATGCACATGACATAAGTATTAAATGAGTCATTTTCACAGAGCTTGTCTGTTAAGTAGCTCGTGCGATTCACGGGAGATATTAAATGAGTGGACCATATGGCTTGTCCGTTCAGGCCTAAAAAATAATTGAGTTTGATCATCTATCTTTTTACATCTTTTCATCAACGTCATTTTTTTTTCGGAACATTAAACCTGAATCTGGTAGCGCAAGCCCGTAATTAATTAATATATTATCTCGCTCACATGTTTATAATAATATAAATTTGATTTCATTATATATATATATATATATTTATTTATTCCTTGATATAAGAAAAATAACAATTTTACGTAATCTTGTTTCTCGTATAATATTCATATTATTTTATTATAAAATTTATTGTAATATAATTTCATTATTATTATTTATGCAAGTTATAGATGTAGTCTTCTTCTTCTTTTTGTTTTATATAATTAAAATATTTAAGGTATGTTCATATTATTTATTAATGTAATTAATTTAAATTATGTAAATAAAAAGTAAAACATTTTGTACAAACATTTTACAAAATATACACAAATGTTTTTTTAGAATTTAATTTTTTTTATAATAAATAAACATTTGAAATTCTATGCAGTTATTAAACATCCTTGATATAAATTCAAAATTATAATTGAATTCTATACAATTATTAATTCTGTCCGATGTTATGAGAAACAATTCATTCGGAAATGATTATATGTAAGTTGAGATAAAAATGAAATGTATCAAAAAAATCAGCTTATGATATTTTCCTTTAAATATTTGAATGAATTTGAAATTCAAATTACAAATCGACCTCCAGTTATTCAAATAATTTTAAAAAAGTTAACAATTGAAGTAAAATGTACGTGACAATATATTATAAATATACATGACGTCAGTAATGTTATGAATCTTTAAGTTCCTAAAATATATATTGTTTAGAGATGAAACTAATTAACTTATATGTTAAGAAAATATATATAAATATATGTATTGTACAAAATATACACGTGACAAGTTATTATATTTGTTTATATATTGTTTGCGTTGTTTGTTATATTTGTATATAAATATATTGTTTATATATTTTTCTGTATTGTACGACAAATTATTATATTTGTTTATATATTGTTTAAATATATATTGTTTAGATATGAAACTAATTAACCTATATGTTAAGATAATATATATAAATATATGTATTGTATGAAATCTTTAACGTGTTTGTTAAATTTTTCTTTAAAAAAATTCAAAATACATTTATGCAATTTTTGTTTGAAGTTTGAAATGTAAATATGCATCTATATAATAAATCTGATGATTTATGCTAGCATTAAATGCTACTTGATTTTTTATTAAAAAAATTAAAAAAACATACCAAAAATGGAATGCAATTAATATTCCCTATTTTTTTGCTTACTTGGTAATGATTTTTTTTTTTCGGTCCTGTAAGAAAATATAATTTGGTATTAATCGAAAATATTATTTATTTATCATATTTGTGTTTTTTTGAAATGGGTATCATGGAATTAATGCTTGAAGAGAAAGGGAAGAACTTCTAATATTAACTTTCCATATTTTAATTATTCTCCTATTATGTATTTGGATTTAATTATCTTCCTTTAGCTTGTAGGTAAATGAAATATATTAGATTTATTAGGAGATTTTATATATATTCACTTTCCTTATTTCGATATTCTCTTACTATATGTTATAGTATTTATTTTACTTGTAGGAAAAGGAAGAGCAATGATGATAAAAGGAAGATATTCTCGTGAGATTTGAAAGCTGAAATCTTGAGGAAGAGAGCTGAAAAATCGAGCAAGAAAAGGAAAGAAATCGGCAAGAAGATATTTCTGAAGGTTCGCATGGAAATAAGGAATGAATGTTCGCAAAATTGAAGAGAGAGAGGCGCGATCATATCTGAAATATTTGGACGTAATATTTGTGCATGAAGATTTGCAAAGCATGAAGATTTAGTTTCCAAAAACTGCACAGAAGATCAAGCAAATTTGGAAACTCCAGATTTTCATTGGGGAATGCTTTCTGTTTGGATGTTTCCATTGGGGGGGGGAATGCTTCTGTTTTTTGGACGTGCAACATTATGAGTTTGGTGTGTGTAACTTGTCTATATATATACATGATATAATTATGTAAGATTAATTCCTAATTAATTTTGGCGTCGGAATGTAACATTGGTCCGTATAATTTGTGTTTATATATGATTTGATATAAAGTGGGGACATGATATAGTATAGTATATGGATATAATTAAGGAGATTATTATAACTCTAATCCTACTAGCATTCTGATTTTTTTTTTTTTTTTTTTGGTACATAGATGGAGGCCAGAGGCTCGAGATTTCTATACTAGAACGCGACGTGAGTAGGCCACTCCACGGACATCATGGTCAATCCATGCTTCCATTCCTGGAGGAGGTGACGAGATCTTTTGCAAGCCTAGCATGGAAGAAGCCGCTAGTTCTGCCATATGATCTGATTGACAGTGATTATTAACTAGAATATATCCTACTATGCATAAATATCGGTAATATATATTGGATGCCCGTGGTTAATTTGTCGGGTACAAAATTACAAATACAATTCTACGCAAAATATCGAATTTATGGTAATATCAAATTGTACTGGAATTATATCGTGAATATCGAAAAATACATAACGGTCAACAAAAAAATTCTAAAAATAAAAACTATTAATTTTAAAACTTAAAGTTTATATTGGTAGTTGGCCGATGCATTATTTTTATTTCATCAAGATGAAATTTTAATTAATATAGTCATATAATTATTTTTATATGTTTGGTTTTACATTTTTATTTATATATTTATAGATGTCATTATATTTGCTACACTACAAAAAAATTATTATATTCCAACAGAAAATCCTATGGTAATATATTCCAATGGAAATTCTAACGGATATTCCAATGGTATAACTTTCGTTGGAATGATTCAAACGGAATTTCCAACGAAAATATTCCGTTGGAATGTTTTTTTCATTGGAATTGGAATTTTAGATGAAATTTGATGATTCCAACGGCTATATTTCCAACGACTTTTCACCGTAGGAATTTCCGTTGGAATATGCAATTTCCGTTGGAATTTTTATTTCCACCACCGTTGGAAAATCTACCGTTGGAATCGTCAAAATCCAACAGAAATTCCAATGAAAAACTCATTACAGCGGAATATTTTTGTTGGAATTTCCGTTGGAATAATTTCAACAGAAATAATAGCATTGAAATATCCATTGGAATTGCCGTTAGAATTCTATTGGAATATATTTTCGTTGGAACTTCATTATTTTCTTGTAGTGCTAGTCCGTAATATTACCACTATTACTGGTCTGGCCGGTAAAACTGCATTCCGATAGCTAGACCAATATGACTAACGGTACAATAATACCGATCTAACTCAACATAAACATAAGGTATAACTT